TTTTTTTTCTTCTTTCTTTCTATCTTTCTTTTTTTTCCTCCTTTCTGTACCTTTAGTTAACTGCCCAAATTAAATTATTCTAAGTCTAAACTAATAGCGCACAACAAATCCAAGAAAAATTGTTTTGGCGTACCTAATGTTGCCTATATGTTGTTGTTTTACGTCGAGCTTAGAAAAAAATAGCCAAAGATCATAAAAGTCGAACAAGCAAAAAGTATATCCTCTCGTTTCGACAGAAATCAGAAAAAAGAACCAGGATTAAAGGATGTAGTGCAGAAAAAAAGTTATACAAATTTCCTTTCTTCCTTTTCTTCGTCGTCGTTTTCCTGTTCTTCTTTTCCTCTTTCTTCCCAGTAATAAGTTATCTGCAAATCATTCACTAAAATCACTAAAGTCAAGAATAACAATTGTATTGGATGATAAATCAGCAAAAAAACATTAAAAAAAAAAAAGAAATGAAAACGCATCAGATGCACCCTTCCAGAGCGCTAACAAGCAAATTATCGCAGTAGAAAAAATGTAGAGTAAAGCTGAAACAGTTAACGCTGACTAATATGCTCTTATTTAACTTTGGTAATCAAAGTGGCGACAACAACGATAATGTCGGCGAAGAAGATCGTAGCGATGATGATGAGAACGATGACCGTAAATGCAGCATTGGGGAAACAAAGCAAAACAGAGTAAAAAAAAAAGAAAAGGAAAGAAGAACCGCACTAAGCCAGCAGCACTGATGGATATCGTATAAATAGTGGGAGTGATGTACAATAGATAGATGCTTAACTGCGATGTTGTGCAGAGGCAGGAGAGACGAAGCGAGGTGTTTGTTGTATGTATTTGCGTATATATATGCGTGTGTGTGTGTGTGTGTGTGTGTGTGTGTATGTATGTATGTATGTATGTATGTATGTTTGTGTTTGTGTCCGTGAAGCAAAAACCGTTAGCAGAGTGGACAAATAACACCATCAGAATATAAAATAATACTAGAGAATCACCACGGTGAACCGCTCAGCAAGTTGCCAACGAACTACTCTGAAAATTTTTAGTGACAGTATTTACTGTGTATGTTATTGTGCAATTACATCTATGCATCTGTCTGTGTCTGCGTTTGAGTGTTATAGTTGTATAGGTATGTGTATGTTGTACACTGAAAATAATTTTTTCAGTACCGACCGTCGGCTTTTACTCCTGTTTGTGCTTCTCCCTTCTGCTGGTCCTCTCAACCTCCCCAGTTGTCTCGTTCCCTCCCACCGAACTCAACTCTTGGAACTGTCCCGTCGACAGTTGTTAGAAGCAGAAAGGAAAACATTCTTCTGATGCTTCATCACATTTATGCAGATGCTTACCACTCCTTCAACTCCAATTTGCTCTTAACGGAAAACAACCGGCAGAAACCATATGACAACAAAAACGACAGCGGCGACGACGTCAGGGACGACCGCAACAGGACAACAGTAAGAAGAGAATTTTTATATGTGTGTAAGTGTAAATGGACAAGAACAAGCATCATTTGTGACATCAACAGTCAAAAAAAAAGTTTGGATACTCTATATTTTTTTGTTGAATGGACAGCAGTAAACCAAAAAAAATAAACATTTTTTTTTTCTTGACAGATCGCTGATAC